ACATGGTCGGATGTCTTGCATATTGGAAGTTCCATTGATTGGGAAAATTCCTTTAAGCATTGTTCATGAACACAGTCATGCAAGATCGGCATCCTGTCCAAATCACAAAGAGTACTACCATACTGCCATACACACACATATGCTTATTATTGTTTTTGATTCTTGTTGCCACATATATATATATATCAGAGAGAGGAAGTCTGGACAACTGACCTGAAGAGCTTGGAGGACTCAGGCCAAAACCCCATGCAACGTCGGCGAAGCAGCCAAGCCAAGTCTTATAAGCTGTTTGCAATCTTAACACGTGATTTAAGGGCTTAAAGTATAAACCCAAATCAGATGCTTGCTTGAATTCTTGACTGAATCTCCGACACCTTAGATCTCAGCATGTTCTGAACTGGGGGGCGCTCGCACAATAGTCTAGCCTTCGGGTTCCTTTGGTCTTCGGTTTTTTTCTGGGAGGATTCCTCGCTTGCCTGAGCAGTTCTCCATTCAAATCTTCTCCCATCCAGCCACACACAAATGCTGGAGCCATCAAGGGATGGAGACAGGTCGGACACATGCGGACGCCAGCATGATTCAAGTGAGACGACGGTGGTTCAGGAAATTGATGGCTTCCAAACTTGGGTTGGCGGCCGTCTGTGGAGAGTATAGGCCGCCCAAATCTGTGGAAACAACTCCAATCACCAGGTGGGCCGTGCTGCCTTCACACTAGCTATCCTTTCCCCCTCTTGCCCTCTTGAAACCCAATCTGCTAACCCTGCTCCACCTGTCCTCCACGGCCGCTACGATAGCTACGCGCCAGCTCTCGAGTCGCGCCGGCGGTCTCGTTTTTCACCGCCGGGGCCAAGGCGGCCGAGGCACCACGACTCGGGTCGGTGAACGAAATCATTCAGCCTGACACTCCGGGGACTTGGCATCACCATCCCTTGGAGTGAAGTAGGAGTGGTTTGTATACAGGCATACTTCAGTCCTCAGTCCCATGGAGATCCATGGAGTATCTAGGTCAGGACACCGCACGAGGCGAGTCCGGCAACGGGAGGGCCCGGAAAGTCACGAAAGAGCCCGAGAGGATAAGGACGATCGATTACGGCGACTGGGCCAGGGCCCTGTTGTGGGCTGCAACATGCTTTAACAATCTTTAACAAATGATTTGATCCGGATCTGACGTTTTCTTGAAGGATCTCTGCAGCTGCAAGGACTCTTTCGGTGACTTCCAGGCCGCAATTTAAGGCCGTTGTCCAGCTCTGATGCCAGCCATCTCCTCCAAGGACTGCACAGTGGCGGCTTCTGAAAATTAAGTGATCGGATGAGATCACGAAGCGAGCGTGGGATGCCCCACATCCTACAAGGCCTTCACAAGGCTCATTTCAGGCCCATGCTTTGTTAAAACAGGTCCAAACACATTCAACATCATTCAACACTCCAGAACAGAAGATGCATAAAGATTCTGCGACAACTATGAGACCGATTAACTAATTGAAAAGAAATTCCTATCCTGACGAGTCATTTCATGTCATTTCACAGCATGCAGAATACGTTCATAAGCTGCTGCACGTCTTGCTTGTTTTTCGCATCCATCCCGCGCATGCGGAGTCCAGCTGCGCCGCACACAGCACGCAAATGCTACTGGCAGAGCGGCGGTGCAAGCGCCGCACACAGCACGCAAATGCTAAAAGGACTCGGGCACTCCAATCTGACAAAGGCCGAAAGGAGCCAACCTACAAACCGCCCAGGCCGCTTCCGCCTGTCTGCTTCAGTTCACCCTGCCGTGCTTCTAACACGGCACGGCGCTCCTTTTGGCCGCTACGCTCCGCACCGAGCACCGGCGTCCGTTCCTCCGGTCGAGTGGCGCGCGCGGCACTGGTCCGCGCGCCCGTGAGAGGGCTCACTTCGCCTGATTCCCGAGAGAAACTCCTTAGCACTACGGGATTGTGCGGTGTGCTGCGTGTGCTGCACGTGGCATCATGTGCGATGGCAGTCGAAGGCTAGATCTATGTTGATCTTCTTAAATATGCCTTGATCTTAGGGCTGAGAGAGACCTCCAAGACTGAAGGTCTTACTTGGAATTGCCGTCTTGGAATAGTAAACCTCGACTCTGGAACAACCTAAATGAAGATGATCTCACCAAAACTATCCAAAACCCATGCGATTGTTCAAGCGTTGTCAACAGCTATTGCCTCCTACAGCCAAACACAAGCTCCAGAATCACGGCCGGAAAAATCACGTGAGTCGTTCAGCAATGCCTGTCTTGAGTCAAACGTTCCGCTTCGAGGTATCCCAAACGTTCCGCTTTCAGCCGCCGCTCGCGTGTCGTTGCGTCTCGCCCGTCTGAACGCCCCAGCTGCCTGCAACGTTGGGCCCGTCCGGCGTCACTGGGCGAATAGGAGTAGGAATAGGAGCTGTCGTCGCTCTCTCCGCGGTCCAGGTCCTGCAAATCCGCTCAGGTGCTTTTGGACGTGCCGCGCATTCGTCGGCAGCGTATCCCTGCGGTGTGTAGACTTCTTCCCAACACGAAACCAGCAATCCTTGAGTTCTGGGGATCTGGAAGCTTCCTGCAGCAAATTGTATGAGCAAGTATTTTCCCGAAGCTTTTTGACCATTGGGGATCTCTTACCACTTGTCGTACTACATGTTGGGGATCTGGAAGTTTCCTGACCGATTCGTCCGTTGAACCGTAGTGGCATCAATTGTGGCCCCTCACCACGTGACCGTGCAAAAAGCGACTTTGATCAGAGAAGTGACTATACCTTCTTAGGAACAATCAGTTCCGAACTCCTTGCCCCTACAAGATCGAACTTTGAGAGGGTGGCGATGTCCCGAAGGTTCTTCATGCCAACATCTTCCCAACATCAACCCAACGTCACCCTTCTCGCCTTGGCTGCCTGCTTCGGGTGCGTTGCTTCGGCCTACTTCGGGAGAAGGCTGAACAAATGAACATTATTCTTGATGAAAAGAATCATGATGAGCAAGAGTCTCTTGCTGCCATACTTGCATTTTGCTTCTGTCAGGAGACCGGCTATGTACTCGATCAGTACACATCGACCAACATACACTTTTTTCGCCGCTCTCAACCTTGTCCGTGGCTCCGCGGCCGCGTTGTAGCCCCCCTGGCAACCCACAAAAACACTTGACTTCGGAGTGCCGCAAACATGGTGATTGGAGGAATGGCATCCGGCTCACCGAGCTGCCCAAGCTGACCCAATCTGTTGACCGACCTATTCTCCACTCGACTGGGGCTTAAGAAAGCCCTGAAAACGCCAGTACAACGAGTATGAGCTGCAATTCCCACCTGTCTTTGGCTCTGGCTCCAGAGCCTGAGAAGTTCGAACATTGCAGCATACTGCAGCGTACTCGTCCGATAGTACCCGGTCCTCATCTTCAAAAAGGCGCTCGTTCGTACGCCCAACTTCTATGAGAAAAAGGTCCGAATGTCCTCATGAAGCAAACTGGCCGTACGGCTTCTGGATTGGGCGCGTGCGGCACAGCACATGCACGGATTGCTTAGCAGGGAATGAGGCCAATACAATCTCTATTGGGGTCTCATTCCCTTATTCCCTACTAATAACCAGTCAGTTATTTTGATATGTTTAAACTTGAATTTTAAAATCCGTCTTCTTGAGCCCTGGCCCTTCCGTATTTCGCCTTCTCGTGGGCTAAGCCCAGACCATGGCAGACCCCGGTCTCCGTGGTGGCGGTCTCTGTGCTGGGCTCCAATGCGCACACCAACACAGTTAATCCCCTAATGGAGGGTCTTCGAAGGGTCTTAATGTAGGGGGATAACCATCCAAAAAAGGATCCAGCACATGTCTTCGTGTATCTTCATCTGCCGAAACCAGCAAACGTTCGCCTCAGTCGCTGGTGTCTCCTCCATCCGATCCGGGTCCACCTTGCCCGAAGACCTGCATGCCATGCCCGGAGTGTCGGTGTTCGGCGCGGTTCGGAGAGCGGTGCGACGAAAGGAACCAGAAGGACCGAAACTCGAGAAAAAAACACTCTGAACGGTATTATGGAAAACGGTTGAACATTGTGACAGTCTGACTGCTCCCAGTCAGAATCCCAGCTTTCTGCGGGGTGGGGTTTCGCAATACCAATGGACACTTGGTGGCCACAAAGTGTCAACCCACCGAGCAAGCACGAATCAAAGGGTCCTACTGACCAACTGCAGGTTTGATTCATGAAGCCACATAGGCGATCAATCGGTCTCATGAACCCTGTCAAGACTACTCAACACTGTATATACATGGTATTACAGCACTTATTACTGCAGATGACAGCTATCATCAGCTATAATCTCATTCAGATGAACCAATCAGACCTCTCCCCCGACGTCCGTCCCGTCCCGTCCCGATTGGCGGGGGCCTTGGCTGGTCATACCATTGCTCCGGGTATTCCCAAGGTGAATGGCTTTCACGGAGGGATGCTTTGTCGCAATCGCCCACCTCGCTGTAGGTGTATTCCTCAGGTCGAGCTCGATCCGACTCGATCCATGGCGGGCGAGAAGGAACGGCGCCTGGTGTGGCAATCCAAACGGCCCGCAGTTGGTCCATGGTTTGTTTGCATCAAGGTGGTAGCTGTGGAGAAGGAAACCATAGGAAGCCTATCTTCAAGAAACGGGGCAAATTCCAACTGGAAGGTTTTCCGGCAATGGCATGGGTCAATTGGAGGGCTTCAGTCTGCATGAAAGATCTTCAAAGAGGGTCAGCTGGTGTGGAGGGTTTGAGTCAGAGGGTCAGCAACGCAGGTCACGCGGGTCACGCGGGTCGCTGCAGAAGGTTCTATCGGTTTGCCGCGCTTTGACCCGCGAATAGCTTGAAGGTCCCAAAAGCCATTCAAAGCAAAAACATCGGTCGCAGCGGCTCGTTTTTCTGCTCCTTCTCCTCCTCCGTCGTATCGCTAATGCAAACCGTCTGGTTTCACCACGCGATTTCTTTGTTCACCAGCGGGTATGCCGGCTTGGCCGACCATGATCCGTGAACTTCACAAAGGTGCTACAAACTTCACAACGTCGATTTCCCCACCTTTTCTGCCTCCAGCGCCACTGTTCGCTTACGTAGTTCACCTGGTTTCTCCTGATCCTCATCCTCCTGGTTCACATTCTTCCGCTCTGCGTACTCGCCTGCCACAAAGTTGGCCAACGTCGTGGGCGAGTCGGGCTCGACGGTCTTGGCCGGAAGACGCATGAGTGTCATGGTAATCACCGCCAGGAGCATGAGAGATGCCCCGATGATGGTGATGATCTTCGGCATCTTGTCGAAGAGAAAAATGTCCAGCAGGTAGCCGGTAATCATCTGCCCACCCGTCAGCAATGTGGCGCTCAAGGCGGCCGGGCAGTGCTTGGCGGACATCGCAGCGAAGGCGTTGGCGAGAAAAATCACCAATAGGAGCATCACAAAGTAAAGGATGCTCTTAGGTGGGGACTCGGCCAAGGAGTGGATATCGCCATCTGCTTTACCCAGAACCAGCGCCAAAACCCAACACACAATCACACGCTGCGCCATGGTGGAGAAGGTGAGCATCGTGGAAGAGGCTTGACCCGCTTTACGGGCACTGATGAGAGCAAAGCCCAAGGAAACTCCGGCTAAGAGTGCCAAAAGGTTTCCCAACAAGCTTGACCCCATGCTGGACAAAGCCTCTTTGGGGTCACTAATCAGCACAGCACCCACCAAAAAGAGCAGCATGGCCAGCACATGCCATTTGCCGAGTGGCTCGCCAAGCACGAGCCGCCCTAGCAATGCAGCCACCACGGTGTTCACACTTCCCAAAGCCGCCACGGAGCCAATGTGTGCTCCAGCCAGAATGGCACAGATGTTCAGCACATTTAAGAGAGAGCTGAAGAGCCCTCGCAACACGACCCACTTCACTTCTCGCTTTTCCAGGTGGTATGACTTCTGACCTCAAGGAAAGCTGCTGCCAGTTGACACATTGGGTGGATTGCTCTCTTGCTTCACTTCTCATGCCCCGAATGGAAACACATGTGCTTTTCGAGGAGGCTTTGTGGGGGGATTGTCTAGCTCCCGCAAATCAAAAACAGCCAAACGCTGTTTAGTTGGACCCGGAAGAATTCAGCGACAACACCAAAAAACCTGTCGACACTGTGCAGCACTTCTCCCCAACAGGCTGACCAAGTGACACATCATGGTGATCGCAAGGCCGATGGAGGCGAACAGCGACGCGAGGCCGGAAAGGATAAAGTAAGGCCAACCCCAGTTTTGCATCAGCTTTCCGATGGTCATAATGAAGTTGGTAAAGAGTGCCGCCACCAGGGCTGCAACGATTCCTTTCGCCTCACTGGGAAACTGCATGGCTGGGATATTTCAGTGTGACTTGAGCTAAATGGCTGTCCTTCACAATCAGGATCAATCAGGTCTTCTTCACCAATCTAGTGTCACTTTCCACCACAGGCGCCGCAGGCTGCTTTTGCTACTGTAGCCTTTTTGGTTTTCATTGTGTTTCTGTAGTTTCATGTCGCGACTGCCCTGGCAGAAAACAACAGGGGGATCTAGCAACTGCACCACTCCAAGCATAGCACAATTATGACGACGTATTATTATTGTCTATATTATTACTACTACTATTGTTAGTATAGATCATATTCTGAATCATCAATGCCTACCCGAACAGAACAGCACACCCCGCCCACTGCCAAGACTCCGAGTCCGAGTCCTTCTTCGCTGGAACTTGACGCCTCACCTCCTTGCCTTGTGCGCCTGGCGTGCTTTGCGCGCCTGGCTTGCCTTGCGGCCAATGTGAGGTCGCGGACTTTGAATGCCACGGAGGCTGGGAGGCCTGGGAAACGGTTCCCTGGGCACCTCGCATCTCCTGTCCGAAGACGTCGAACTTCTCCGTCCGGTGGGGCTCCGGTGGCGGAGCCTGGTGCTGCAAGGATTGTGGAGAAAAACGCAGTCCTTCCATTTGGATTTGCATTGGGGTTTGAGGGTGAACTTGTTCATGGCCTTCTCTAATTATTGTTGAAACACCGCCTGGCAAAAAACTGACCATCAACACTGTGCTAGCCTTCCCTAAATGTCGAATCAATGGGTTGCAGTCCTGCCATGCTCCGGCATTCAAGCCAAACACATGACATAATGCAGGGTTTGCGACCTCAAAACTCCCACGTCATGTATATAACTTCTATGCCGTAACAGCCCCCCATGAGGGGCTCAATGCAATGTTTAGCACACACAAGAATCAAGCTCGGTCCCTGGCAGCATTGTAGTTTCTATGGCCGCCAGCTGAGGAAGCTCGACCTGGCAACATCCCATTGATCCCAAACCCTGTTGTGTAGAACTGCCCATTCTGGTGACCACACCAGGTTCTTCAAATGCCACACCTAAAAGGAATGGCCTCCAACCTACTAGCGATGGCCTCCAACCTATACGACACCACCGCCAGTCTGCAAACACAGGATTTGCGGGGAAACTGACTGCGGGATTGGGAGTGGAGTGAACTTAGTTTGGGATTGGAATGATGATGTTAAACTTACAACAAAGCTCGACAGACCGGCGGTGGGAAACGACAACGAAACGATACGAAACGTCGCAAACGAAGCAAAACCATATATAATGACTTATAATGTGTGAATTGCTCACGTAGGCTGGGTTCCTGCCAAATTGAAGCGTGAAAAAGGAAATGGGAAAAAAAACACATGTCCCAAATGGAATGCTCTTCGATTATAAGTCCAAAGTCGTCGGTACCTTTTGGTTGATAGCATTGGATGGTCTGGTTGATAGCATTGGCCGGAAGTTGTGTAATGGTTCTTCCGAAGTTTGGAAGGAAAACTTAAGCATCCGGCAACTCTTCGGCACTCGACCTGAGGGCCGGCTGGCCTGATTCATGGGAACGAGCGCTGCTTGAAGTGTTGCACCAAGGGTGCACCCTTCGAGCGAAATATACGTTCAGTGAATGAAACATGTTTGGTATGCATGTGATGTCAGATTGCCCTTCGTTTTCGGTGTCCCAGTGCCTGCTGGACATGATCTTTGTGCGTCTACAATAAGTCTACAATATCCGACCACTATTTGCATCAATTTACTCCATCTCAACCTCCTTTGGCACTCCGGACTGGTATGCCAGTCCCTCAAACCAACAAACTCTGGAAGGTAATTGATTGGTTGTTGGATAACTTATTATTCATAAAATCCAGCTTTTCACCAGCACCTTCCAGTTTTTGTTTGTGCTTTGTGGTTTGCACCTCTCATTCAGGCGGCATCTTTCTTAGACCTCCTTTCGGAGCTGCTTTCTTTTCCTTCCCCGGGTGAACGTGGGGGGGGACCCGGGGCGGATGGTAATCCACAGCCCAGCTTACACCGTTGAAATGATTCAGCAGTGCTTCATGTGTTTTGCTCTGTTTCAGCGCCGGTGGGCGCTTTGTGTCCTGTCATCGGTGTGTCCTGGAGATCTTCGCCGGCCCCAGGCTGCTCCGTGAGTATTTGTGTTGGTGGTTGTGTTTGGTTGGTTCTGTTTTGGTGGCCTCGAAGATGCCGCAGAGCGCCGCGGAATGCGAATCTTCCACAGGGAATGACATGGACCTCCGTGTGAATCGGCCTGGAAGGTCGCAGTTCAGGCTCGGGCTCGGACCGGCTTCCCTCAGGCCTCGCTCATTCAGTCCGAAACACCACGTTCGAACAGGTTGCTCAAGCCCAACGCAGCTTTTCTAGGACTGCACCACAAGGAATGAAATAAGGCAAGGTATTTAAATGTATTTATTTAATACCTTGTTACTAGTAGCGATGCCCTTGTTACTAGTAGCGTGAAAAGTTAATATCTTGCTTGGATTGAGTTTGACCAAGGTGCTCCGTAACGGAGCTGATGCGTCAGCAAAACGACTGGTGCCTCCTTTTGGAGCCCTTGCTAAGGTCGAGCGGCGTCCTCAAGGCGTGCTGCAATGGCAGGGGCTGCTTCACAACCCCCCCCACACCAAGTTTGATGTTGAGTGCTTTTTTCCGATGAACTAACGATCCGTTAGTCTTGCGTTGACTCACTGTGAAGCACACATGAATCTTCACCATAAAGCAAGCCCCACGCAGAAGGCATCGTCCTGCTTAAGCACGCCTTTTTCAAGCAATGGATTTGCTTAAGCATATCCAAAGATGTCAGATCTTCCGCTTCCCTTGGTTTCCCCTTCACACCCCCAAAGACATCCTCAACACCCCCTCGCTTGACCATGAGCAAACAATAAAACTATGACTATACCTTTTAAAAGTTCGGGAAGTGGAAGGCACGGTCAGCCTTGTATATGCTGAACCTTTCCCGGCCACCTTGCGAGCTCTGTTGCTCTGACGGTTTCGGCGGAAAAATGGCATCCCACAATCCATCGATCTCAAAAGTGAGGCCATGCAAGGCCTGCCGCATATTTGGGGAAGGCCTGCTTTGCAGGCTTTGAAGCCTTGGTTTTAGACATGCCTCCTTCAAGACATGTGTGCGAGCCCCACAGAGCAATTGGGTGCTGAAACACACTTGCGCGCAAAAAAAAACATGTCTTTTGCATGCCAACCATTGGTGCGCAACACATGACAACACATGATCCAACATCGAACTTGGATTGAAAAGGGCACAGGACGACATCTTGGGTCGTGATGGACAGCTGATGGGGCCAGGGCGGGCCACGAGTCACTCACTCTTCAGCGGTCCTTCAGCGGTAGGTACGTGATCTCCACAGCAGGAGAGTCCCCATGGTCTGTGGCCTGGCCTTCCAGTTTCTTTCAATATCTTTTGATCTTTCTTGGTCTCAACCTTGACAACACACTCCACCAACTAGTAACTATATGTAGTGTGTCTTTGATGTTTGTGTTGGATGTACAGGAGCCGTTGGAGTTCTGGGAAGGCTGGCTGCTTCAACATCGGCACGAGCCACGAGCGTTCCGCAGCGGAAAAAGGAGCGCCTCCCCTCATGCATCGCTCTCATCCTCTGTCTCCAAGTCATCGGAGTAGTAGCCTCCAGCCTTCGACCCGTCCTCGTGGGCACCATGGAGGCTATTGAAACAGCTTCGTGAACGCATGGAAGGTCCGCCGCCCCAAACATGACCCCTGAAACTTCTGAAGTGTGTTTTGCATACTAGAAGTGAAGCAAATATGCCTGTCTCATGGAGTGTCTGGGCCCCATTTCACCTGTGAAATCCAACCCAATTGATTGGCAAATATGCCAGTCCCATTTGGTCGTGTCTGGGTGCGGTCAAACTCAGGCAAGAAACACCTCTCCAAATGAGGGGACCGTTCAAGATTCAAGATCTTCCAATTGCAGTGTTGACGCAGAACATTGAAACTCATGACATGGTCAAAGACCAACCCGAAGAAGGACTTGTATGGATTTGTTTGGAATGCTTTGTGCCGTTGCATTCCCTGATGTCCCTGGAGGCTCAAGACAGCTTCGGGCCCCTTTCACAGCCTGCACAAAAAATCAGTGAACAATTCATCAGTCTTTGCAATCTCTGGAGGAACCTTGGAGAGCAGCTCATGAATCCATTCTCGCCATGAACCATCACTTCATCACTCCATCTCCTCTTTTCCAACCAAAAGTCAAGCCGACCAACGCGGCCTTCCGAGGCCTTCCGAACGCGTCGAGAACGCGTTCGCTTCGTCCTTCGCTCTCCGACGGTCCAAGTGTCGTGATTCAGTGGCCCGGAGAACAGAACTTTCACAGCCTGATCTGGCTTGCCGTCTCCTGGCACTCTTTCATGAGACGCTCCGAGAAGTCGAAGACCAACCAGCAAAATGATGGCTACTACTTGCCTATGGGCTGGCGCAAGAGCAGGGGCGACTGGCCATCAGATGCAATAAATTGTCATCTCTTGGGGTGCGATGACCCGCCCATTCCAATCCAAAATAGTGGCGCTACTTGGCTGTCCGAGCAAAAAGAACAACGGAAGCGCACGTGGAGACTAATCCTTTATGAACGGCTCTGGTCCGTCAGTCACAGCTCAATCATTCCTCCAAACTGGGCCATGACTGTCTTTCTTTTGCAATTGGTATCGGGAACGGTGATTTGTTGACTTGTTCTGATTCCCCATGACGAAGCGGAAACCAACCCTGCAACGGCCAACGAGGCGTGGCGTCGCAAGCAGGCCAAGTTTCTCGCAAGCATGTCCGCGGCATCCAGGGTGTGTCCTTCGCGTGATAGGCCAAAGATTGCCCAAACAAATAGAATAAAAACAACTGGGTTGGGTGGGCCAGTCAAGCTGCAGCTCATCAGCTGAGAATCAGTAGCTATAGGCTACAGTTTTACAATACTGCAGTTGCAATGCAGCAGGAAAGTGCCTGCCATGACGCTAGCATCACTGACATCCCTCAATCCAACACCGTTCTTCTCCGCTGTTCGGTGCCCCTGTCCGTTGTAGAATGGGATGGCCACCAGTGTGAGGAGCATCGCCAGCACTGAAGTAGCAACTACCATCCAAAAAAATGGTGGCAATGAGCTCCTGATTCCTTAAATTGCATTGGAACGGTCTGAGGAGGCCAAAGGCGCCTTGATATGCACTGGACTTCTCTTGCACCTTTGGCAGCAACCATCAAGAGGAATTGTTTTCGTGTTTCTTGCGAAGCGTTGTCACTCTAGCCGCTGCCTTGGTACACAAAATTCCTTAGCGTGATAACAGATTGGCATCGAGATAAGACCGATGTCAAGTGCGTGATAAAGGGTACAATTCCACGTAACACTATATACAATGCTTGAAACGGTCACTTAGTGGGTTCTGTGGGATGCTCAGCTCTGAATGTTGCATCATGTTGTCAATGATTTGAATAGCCCGGCCCCATGAAGGGGTTCATCTGTTTCTGCAAATGTCGAAGACAGCGGGGATGATTGCTGTCACCGAACACATCGAAACACAACCATGTTTGGACATGCTTAAAAGTGTTGTCAAGCATGCTGCTGGCTGAAAGGAACTTTATTTTTTCACCCCGGAGCTCCTTAGAAAGGCTCCAAGCCCCTTTCACCCAACTTGTAATCAAGCACATTAAGTTTCCCTAAAAATATACGAACCAAGTCAATAGTGCAAGCACTTCTTCAAGGAAGCCCCCCCGCCCTCAGGCAGGGGGAGCTTCCTTGAAGAAGCGTGAGCTATCCTAGCTAGGAGCGAACTTCTCCTAGTAGCCTACCTCCTTACTTAATTAAGTAGGAGCGGGACGACAAAAACATGACACATCCACTCCTTCAGGTCCCTCTGCCCAAGCCGCTTCAGCTCGGTAAAGAAGTAGGACCCGATCGTGGCGCCCAATTTGCCACAGGCCGCACTGATCCCAGCGCCAGTGCCCCGCACCATCGACGGGTAGATTTCAGCGGAGATGGCCTTTTGGATGCAATGCGTGACTGATGGGTGTGACTGAATGGATCCAAAGGATTCGAAAGGAATCTCTACAGGATCCGAAGCGTCCCTACGAGTCTCTACGGGATCCGCACTGTATCAAGAAGACTTCACTGGAGACTAGTCACGGCATGAGTTCCGCTCTCCCGTGCCACGGACCACGTGGTAAGCGTCTCACTCTGCATGTAGGTTCTTGCTATCAGGATGGAGGCCATCGCTATTAGGTTGGAGGCCATTGCTATAGTGGATTGAGAGTAAGTAGATGGCACAGACCCCAATGTTGGTGGTTTATATGAACCCCCATGTAAAGGACATCGGTTTCGGTCTGTGCCATCTACTCTGATGGCCCACTGTAGTAGGTTGGGTGTCCAAGTGGATTTGACTGGAACGTCGGCCATTTCGCCTCCTGGAACGTCCGTTTCGCACCAGGTGAGGCACACGCCGGTCGTGTCATGTTGGCAAAGGAAGCATCAAAGTCATCAAAGGAATCTCAAGTATTGGAAGACCTCATTCAGAAAAACCTGATAAATTATGGTATTTAAATACTAGTTATATCATAACCATTCAATACTTTGATGAGGTCTTCCAAACGCTTCCATGAAAAATCATGAAACGAAGAGTCTTATATACGTGCACTGGTCACGACACTCAGGGGTCTCCAGTCGTCACGAAATGTCTACGGTACCCTCCATGAAAATCATCAAACCTTAGACTCAAACCATATCGCTTAGAAATGCTTAGAACAGTGCTTAGAACCTGTGCTGTGTGTATACACTTTTACGACATAACTCCTTGCACCATGTAAGTCTGTCTTTCTTTATGTTAAGTCTGTCTTTCTCTCTTTACTTGTTTCGTTCTTTCTTTCTTTCTTTTGCGTTTGCAAAGTCGCATTAATCGTGGAAAGGTCAAGTGTTGGCCGAAGCATTCAGTCTGTCACCGAGGAACCATGGTGGTCACACCTGGAAGGCTTTGGAAGGACAGCTGCACAATGTACCTGAGGCTATCGGGGGGGATGATCTCTCTTCAGCTGTTCTCCGGGGGCAAACCTTCCCTCCATCGGGCGGTTCTCGGACCCTCCCTCTTCCGGGCCACCTTCCCTCTCCTAACATTGGAGTCCAGGTACCCCAAAGGTGTTACCCAAAACTATTCAATGAGTTCTCAACTCACACTTCTCTACTGAAATTCCATAATGAGCTGTGGGCAGTTGAAACAAAGCACAGGTTGGTGACTCTGCACATCTCTGAACCCTGCATGCAATCACTGCAACTACACGCGCACCCTTGTCTCATTGCCTCCGTGGCAGATGACCACTACCATTTCTGACATGGCCACCCCTACCAATCAAGTGCCCACCATTCGCGTTGTTTTTTTCTGTGCGAGGCAGCCAGCAATCCATAAACTTTTGTGGAAATCATCAAAGGGCCTTCAGGTGTCTTTCAAAAAATAGCACATACGGCATCAGTCTCTTTCCGTGTCAACCTCTGCCAGGGCACAGGGTAAAGAAAAGGGCAGTTATCTCTTTCAAAGGTCCATAGGCCGTGGCCAAGACCAGATTGCACAGCGCGCAGCCCACAAAGCCGATGATCTGCACGCGCTTGCTGGAAATCCTCGTCAAGAGCCAAGGTGCCGCAATCAATGATGGGATCACCTCAGGAGGAAACCACTTCTCCGCGGAAATCACCGCATTGAGGTGCCTAGATACTTGCAAGCTTGCTGCGATTCTTGGGCAACTTGGCCTCAATGAAAATACAAAATGATACCAACAAGCTTGTTTTGAGATCAAAATGCACAAAAATGATGGCAAAGAAGTGGGCCAAGAAGTCACGATGATCGCCAAGAATGCCTTTTCTTTTGTTCATATCATTGCAGAACGTCTTTCCTCTCGTCATTCACTTGATTTATGCAACTTCTCAGCATGTGCCGGTGGACAGACCATCCCCTTTCGGCCAAACTGGTCGTCACCAAGTTGCCAACAAACGCGTTAGGAAGACATCCAAAACGCTTTGGCTGTAGGGAGCATCAGACCCCGCGTCAAAAATGGCTGCGTCGTTTTGCTTCAGACCGTACTCCACGATGTCATAGAGGCACCAAGAACCTACATGATCAAAACGATGAACATGATGGAACATGAATGAAGCAAACCCATCGAACACTATTAATAGACTATGGCACTAGGGTTTCGTGATCTTTTGACGGCCTGCGGTTCCCAACAAAGGCCGCCAGTAGGGCTTGAGCAGTGAGAGGGTGTTCTCCTGAGGCTGTTCGGCTAGGGAAAGAATCAAATAGCATCAAATGCTCAGGGTTCTCTCTTGAATCAAACTCTGCATGTATCCACATGTTCTCAAAGTTCACATTGGCAAGCAAACTCTTCTTCTTGAATACATCTATATAGTCAATAGTGCATTCAAAACAACAAGAGTGTATTGAACAGAACTCCCCAAGCAGTCACCATCACTTCACCCCAACAAGCTGTGCTACAGCTAACGTAGTATATTAAAAACATATCATTGATGACAAACAAAGTAGACGGCACTGGCAACCCTGCATGTCATGTCTTTTAGATGGGGTCTATATATATATATATGGACCACATTAAACCACCAACCTCGGGGATTGTGCCAAACAATTACAGTACTCTGAAACCACTGCAATATCACTCTACTGCGGGGTCTCCTTGTGTTCAGCCTCTGCCTTCTTGCTCGCCACAAACTTCTCACTGTCCTTGGTGGTCAACCATCGTAAAACCAGCCCAAAGGCTGACAGGATACTGCCAATGCCAAAGATCCACCTCGGTGTCCACCGACAGGATCAACGACGAACTGATGACTCCGTTCAAACAGGGTCCGATCATATTCACAGGGTCTGAAAATGTTTGGATCCTCGTGCCTTCTCGTTTCCCTTGCTACATATGCTTGAACAGTTCAGCGGGGATGCGAATAAAGGGTAGTTGAAGAACGGGAAGGTGGAAAGGGGGGCCCCGACTTGAGAAGTGGAAATGAGTCAGGAGCTGTACCAAATTTAGCAGCACCTGTGATGAAGCAGGGACAACGAATCCTGAAGGAACACAACAGCAAAGTGATATCTACCTCCACCACCCGCCTCCAACCAAAATTGGTGTCTGCAACTGCGACTGCTGTCATCTTCTTCAACTGAGGGGCCGCCAAAGTAGATTCGGAGGCACGCCACTGACATCCATGATGTAAGTCACCAAGGGGCACAAGGCCTGGCCTCCACCCGATCCAAACAGGTACCTGCGAGCCCAACACCCTCTCCAACACTCAGGTACCTGTGACTGGTCCGAGAGGTGCGATAGGTCGGAGAGGTGCAGTGAAACAGCTGGACTTGGAGCAACACTTGGAGCAAGGGTCTATCAATCAAGAAAAGCCCAAGCAATTGTTGGTGCGCAATCACCCCAGAACCCCCAACAAAGCAGTTCTACTGAAAGGAATCAATGCCGGAGGGCTAAAGAGACCCCAAACTGGACGATGTCTTCCACATTCATCCATTTGTAGTGTTTTGTGCACGCCTCAGTGGATTGCTTTAAGGGAAAATCTGAGGGAAACCATTGTTTTCACCCCAAGACCACTAGATTCTTGCAGACTTTCCCTTAAAGTACAACCAATTCTGTGAATGCCAGGTGGTACAGGAGCCTGACTTTCTTTCCCCCTCGTTCGTGTGGGCGCACAGCAGCGCGACGTTCCGCGCTCCGTCGGAGGTCTCGGAGGACTCAGCGCTGTGTGAAGAGGCCAACGGGTATTCGCCGCCCATGCCTTGAGTCAAGCAACAAAACGAATAGAGCCGACTCCCTCCGCCCGACTCCCTACGAATATTGCGAATACTGCGTTGAACCCGACGGTCTTATACAAAAAGCGTGTGTTTTCCCGTTGGTCTGTGCGATGAGCATCAGAAGAAGGACACTTGCCACGGTTGAGTTTCGCGTTATGGTACCCCATGGGTCCTTCGGAGTCCTTCGGCCCAAGAGACCAATTCCGGTGACAATGCGCGCTGCGATCAGGACGTTCTCGCCCCAGGCGAAGGTGCTCAACAAAGCACCCAGCAAGGTGATGATGGAGCAAAGAATGAGACCCGCTCTTCGACCAATGATGTCAGACAGCGGTCCCATGACCTCAGAATGTTGACCATTTATACAACCCCCCCCGCCTAGATGAAGATGTTGAACAAAATTTTGGTAGGGGGCTTCTTCATCAACAGCCAACACCACCAATATCTCAGAAACAACGCTTCAGACTGCAAAACCTCATCTCCTCCCATCTCCTTCTCCTCGGTCCCACATCTGAGTCTGGGCCGTCCACCGACACGGCACGACGAAAAATCGCTACAAGAGCATCGCTACTACCGATGGCCTCCAAGCTAGGAATGGTCTCCAACCTAAGAGAGATGGCCTCCAGTAGCCTCTTCTAGCTTCGTCGGCTACGCCTAGTGGCGATCATCCCCAGAATGGCTCCGCCATACATCGCCGACTTCACAAAATCCTTCTGGGCATCCGTGGCGTGAAAGTCTTCCGCGTAGTGCTCCACGAAGTTCGTCGCTCCCAGCATGTACCTGACAAAAATATAACACGCCGTTCAAAGCTAGGTTGGGATCCTGACAAAGCGTATCTGAGTGTTGGGCAAGGTTGGGCCAAAGGGATCTTATTATCCAAAGGAATGTGCTACTATCAAAATTCTCACCTTGTTCCGTGAACCTCTTAAAGTCTTATATGGGCTCTCTGACAAGTACTTGCAAGATATTGTGCAGTAACCTGCACTTTGCACTTCACTTGGGAAGGTAGGACATGTTTGGACATGGATTGGTAGAGGTGGCCAGGCCCAGGCATCCCACGCGCACTTGTCGGTGAGCAGGCCAATGCCCGTTGCGACCCCGGTGACTAAAGGATGCACCATGGCTCCGAACCCGACAACCTAACACCTGGGCGCTTCGAAGAACTGCAGCCGGGCGCCAGCCATGAAGTTGCCCAGGAGTGCCAGTGACAAAGGCACGAGGAATGACACTTGTGTTGTTATTATAATATGTTGAGCCATATCCATAGTTTTTTATTTCCAACAGCATATCAACCAACTTGTCCATCTACCAAAACCAACGGAAGCATGACCTTAGGGCTCCAGTCGTGCCTCCTCAGAAGATATTTGGACCCTCTAACCCATTCTAAACCCACCCCAGTCCCACCTTCTTAGAAGGTACGACTGGAGCCCTGGATGCCTTAGGGTCATATACCATCATACATCTATCAACCGCTATGGTCACTGCTCCTGCTCCTGCTTCGCTCCCTGGGCCTCAGGATCGACTGTCGAAAGGCACGAAAGCTGAGCTGCTGCTTTCAAGCCGAGATGTGACGTGAAGTTGTGGCTTTTAATCCAAAAGGCTTAGTAACAGAGTAACATTCTAAAACATGGTCCTGATCAGGATTACTTAATCTATGCCATTGCAAATGATTTCATGCTCTTCTTTCCCCCTTACAGAATGCTTCGCCGATGGCACTCGGACTCTTCCATTCCATCTTCTGGCACCCCCCCCCCGAGCCTGGAGTCTCTCCAGCGTTCTCTTCGACTTCGGCTCCGGTCCCTCCGATCCGACCAGCTCCGCCTGGGCTCGCGCGCTCGGGGCGGTCGGGGCGGGTGCGGTCAAGGTGCTCTGAGCCGCGGTCGAGCGAGGTCTCTCGGTGGTCTGGGACGAGGAGTGGTCCGTCACGGGAACGGGGGAGCGACGCCTGGCAGTGGGAAGCGTCGCTAAAGTGGGGGTGGGTATAATTACCCCGTTCCGAAGGACTGGGGTGGATGGATGGTCCATAGATTGGATACACGTCCCTGAGATTTTTTGGGGAAGGTATTAACAAAGCTTGAAAAGCCAAGTCATAGCAAGTTGCCCATGGAGCTCCGCTCCCAAATACGCATACACAAAGCAAACCACCCAAAAACAGTCCTGTCGAGATCAAGTTGAAGCATTCTTTCTCTCCTGGCTTCGGGACAAAGATACGACGGAAGGAAGGTGAGGGTGGGGGACCAGTGGGGGACCTTCAATTTCTATGTTCATCATGAAATTTAACTGTTGAGGACAAAGTGTGATCTTGGAGCAAAGTACAGCTCACACGGCACGATTGTTGCGGTTGTCTCGGCTTGAGTTGCTGCATTCTGGTCAGCTCCAGCCTC